GTCACATAGTCGTGGTCAAGTCAAGAGCTTGACAAATCTAAATATTTTGTCAACCAACCAGATCAGGGGGGTCATGACCCCCATATCCCCCCCATCCCTGGATCCGCCGTTGACTTTGACACCACTGGGTGTCATTTTTTGGTGCAGTTATCCAAATTGCATAATATTTGGTTTATTTTATAGAAATGTTGTGGTGGCTGCAGTTAATATTTCCAGTCCAGTTATCGACTGATTACTTCACAATAGGCCAGTACGGTATATAAAACTGGACTGTCTTATAACTGTTAAAATGTGAAATATAACTGGCTCCAGTGAATCCATACCATCTATAATTAGTATGCGCTACTGATTATACTGCGTCTGGTTTATATTATGCCAGTAGTTGAAAGTTCGACTGTACTGGAACGATATTAGCTCACTGGCGCTAGTAAGCAGTATTTTGTATTGTCATCGTTAATTTTAAGTGTTACTACCAATACCAATTCAGTAACCTCCCTATAACGCGTATTCCGTACCCCATATAACGCGGGAACCCTCTATAACGTTAATGTTATTAAACAATTATAAAGAAACCTCTTATAACGCGATTTATAGATGTACCATAACGTGTTATACAAAAAGATTTCCTATAACACGGAACTGTAACGCGTTATAGAGGGGTTCATTACGAGATCCTTGTGTGATAGCTTTTTTATAACTTGTTTTAATAGATTTTATATAATTTAAATCTATCGCCGCGGCAAATAAGTTTATTTTACTATAATATAAAATAAAAATTGTAAAGGTAGTTTTTTTTTTCTTTTTTTTTAATAACTTCGTTAAAGATTTGTTTTAAGAAATCTGTTCTAGAGATTTTTTAAATTCAATAAATATATTTTTATGTTAAGATATTTTCAGTTTAACGTATGTTTTGTTATTAATTTTTTTTTTATCTATTAAGAAATATCCAATTATATTTTATAAGGAAGTAAATTGTGTTTTGATTCGCAACCAATTTTATCTCTGATATAAAAATTTATGTAAAAAGGTGTTTGGTTTTATACTAATTATTAGTATTGTAAATAAATGTATATAACTATGTTTAATGTTTTTATTGAGTACATGACAGTATGCCAGCTACTGGTGCCAAATGCCTAAACATGCATGCCAGTTAGCCATCTGTAGCTGGCAATTTTAGTAGCTTATATGCTAGTATCCGACCAACTGGCAATTAGGAGTGACGTCATCAAAAAAATCTTATAGTAAAAGAATATTTTTCTCTTCCCACATAAAATGTGATACAGAGAGCTCAGTATAAGAATTATTTCGCGATTTTAAATAATTTAGCATCTTTGGAAGCTTGGAACAGGATTTCTACAAATTTAATTCGTAATATTTTAGTACTAACTTCCGCCCGCAAAAGTAAGCAGCTTATGTGTTCTTCCAGATTATGTTCTACATATATGCCGAATTTCATCCAGATCCATCTAAACTTTCGCATTTATAATATTAGTATAAGTATGATGTGTTACTTCAATCTTTCAAAGTCATAGATGTTTTATTTGGAAATGTGCCTAATTCTGTAAAAAGCACCTGTGTGCAATACTACGACGAAATTAAAAAATCTAAGCGCTTTATTACACGAATGAATCTTGAGTTGACCTGAGGATTTTGCAATACGTTAATTAGTAATTTTTTTTATCAAATTTATATAAAATATGCTCCCGACACCATTCTATATGCACTAATAATTTGTCTTGTTTATATACGTACGCATACTTGGCTATTTACTAATACTAATACAAAAACGACAGGTGAGTCATCTGTGCGGTGCCTCCGCTCATTGCGTCCTGACTCCTTTATCCAAAAACGCAAATTGTCTCTCCAAAAGCGTCTTAAGAATGTATGTATGCTATGACAATAGAATTTTTGAATAAGCGTCAAATTACATTAAAGTGTAACTAATTTTAACACGTCATTTTAATTAACATTAATGCAACGTTGGTGTTTAAAATAGAAGTTAGTTAAGTTTTGCTTAGCAACAGGAAAACGCGTGAATCAGGACTTGAAAATGATTTTAAATTTCTTAGTAATCGGTAAGATACTTTGTAGAATATAATTAAAAAACAAAAATAAGTTGTCTATGTGTTCCAGACTATCCTCTACATGTATGACAAGACAATCATCGAGATCCATTTAGAAAACAAACTAACAAACATAAATCTAAACTTTCGCATTTATAATATTAGTATTGATAAAAAATTAGCTCAAACATTTGAAATATAATAGGAAAAAAGGTATTTGTTTTCTGTAACTTTTACTATATACAATTTAATAAAAAAAATATTTTAGGTATATTACTAAACGCGACATTAGGAAATTATCACAATGGACGCGACAAAATTGAAGAAACCTTACAATCCTTGCCATTACTTAATAATATTAATGTTAAAAACGAAAAAATAACGAGCAAACCTAAAAATACACAACGATTTTTTTTCAATTTCTTCGGAGGCACAACTACCACAACCACAACTGTTAACCCTTTTTTAGACGTATTTTATGATCTTAAATCTATTCTAGATAGTTTAGACAGTGTTGCTAACAGATTGGCTCATATATTAAGAAGCATTAATGCGATTGGTCGTCTTTTACCCAGAAGTAAACTAAAGAAATTTAAAAAAGTTCGTCCAAAACGAGATACAGATAAAATATCAGAAACGTCAAATGTCACGGATAAAATACAGACAGATAATTTGACGGAAATAAATAGTCGAAGGATGCAGGCCCCAAAATTGAATTTAATTAAAGCTAAATTACTCAATTATTTAGAAGAAACTTTTCATGATATTGATGAAAAATTAGAATCGTTACAGAGAATTAAGCAATTATATTTCAATAGCGTTCCTTATAAAGTGGGTTATGTTGTAGCTAATTTAGACAATTTAGCTATTAATATGAGAAATATAAAAGAAGATGTAAGAAGAAATGAAGAATTATGGGGCGAAGAGGAGATTTTAAACGTCTACGATCGCTTGAAAACTACACAGAACGTTATTTATAACCTTTTAAATACATTACGTTTTATTAGTAAATAATAAAAGAAATAACATATGGAAATAAAAGACCTTTTTAATATTGTTTCATTTATTCAGTCTATACAACAAATTGCTTTTAATCCTATAATTATAAATATTACAATTCACCATAGACTTAAATTTACGATAAAAAAAAAAATATTTCCTAACCACAGACCTCTATAAATGGATAGGTTATAAACTGTGTTATTTTGTGTATGATTTTCCCCAAACCAACGCAGTGGAGAGTTTTTAAACTAATAAATAGTAAAAGACTTAAGTCCTTACGAAGCAGAAGCGGTCGTTTCCAAACAATCGCATATCCATTTATACAGATCAGTGTTCCTAAAACAGTAGTGTTTGCTTCTTGCAGTAACTTTCTATATGGAAGTAATCTTAAACAAAAGTCTATAGTAAGTCCTTTATCTTGAAAATATTACTATTTCTAGTAATTAAAAAAGTAACCGTGAACGAAATACCTTTTAGGTTATTCATGTCATAAAATGCATATTTTAAGTCTTAAAGGAAATAAAACTGGTTAATAACGAACTTAAAACTATTTAAACAATATTTGCGCCATTTTCTAAAACTGTTTATATCAATGCTTCTTTGTAAGACAACTAAAATGGCGCAAAAACTGTAACTGTCAAACAAAAAAAAACCTTCAAATACCTTTGTACTTTTAAATGTACATTTTTTACATTAACAGTTAAATGTAATTTTATTTTTAAACATGACAACATTTATAAAAGTCACTGGTCATAAATAATGTTGCTGTTAAAAAAAATTTCTACGGTTTTAGTAGATTTTATTTCGAAGTTATTTTGGTTGCATCTTCCTTGTTGATTGCACGATTGTATCCATTACTATTGATGCTGCGTTCATTTTACTACACCTAGAAGACAAGGAAAATATTTAAAAACAAAATAAAAAAATCCTGTCGTCCGTTCCACTAGTAATTAAAAAAAAATACTTAGTAAATAGTGTTTCTTTTTTACCAGACTTAGTTCTGTGCTTTTATGGAAATCCGTTAAGCGGTTTTGGAAAACAAACCTAGGATTTCGAACTTATTTTAGGAATTGGCAGTATATCCCAATGTTGGACACAAAAATAATAATATTAGTTAATTTATGAATATGTTATTTTAATAATATAACATATAATAATAATTATTAATAAAAGTTGATTTTGTATGTTCAGTTTATATAAATAGCATTTAACCGTGAATTCTGCGCAAAATTAAAATTCAAATAAAAATGTATCCGATATGTTGAAAGAATTATTAAAATAAATCCAGTAGTTTTTAAGTTTATTCGTTACATACAAATACGTATCTTTCCTATTCATATTACTACTAGCTTTAGCCCGCGGCTCCGTCTATGTGCAATTAAAAATAAACAAAAGTGTGTATCCTTTGTGTTCCAGACTATCTTCTACTTGTATGAAAATCATCGAAATCCGTTCAGCAGTTTAACAAACAAACTAAACTATCGCATTTATAATATTAGTAAGTAACATTTACCTGGGGAACATATCTTGACACTTTAGTTCAGTCCATCCTGTGAGAGCTTCGTACAGCATCGTGTCTAACGCGCGGTCAGTCGACAACTCTCCTGTCAGCATACGCAAAGCTAGACTGTAAAAAATTACTTATTGTTAACTTAAAGCTATAATAAAAAACGCCTATAACATTCCTGAATACATCCGCTACCTTCTTGCTAAAGTTCAGTCAAAATCGGTCTAATAGTTCCGAGGATCAAAAGTAACAAACATAGACTTATCAACAGAAAGACGGCAAAAAAAAGAGTTTTCTTTTTGCTAAAGCAAATATGGAATGTGATTTTTTCGAAGTGACATATACATAGAGACTATAATTTTATTATATAGATAAATGATATAATTATAGACAACTAGTGTTTACCCGCGACTTTGCTCGGAATTAACAATAAATTTGTTAGGTAGTCTGTGTTCTTCTATACTATGGTCTACATCTGTGCTAAATATCAACGAGATCCGTTAAGCGGTTTTACAGATATTTAGTAAAAAAATAGTACTAGCTTTCACCCGCGTTTCCGTTCGCGTGGAATAAAAAACAAAATAAGTATCCTATACTAGTTCAGTTCAGATTATCCTCTACATGTATGACATTAATCAAGATTAGTTAAGCAGTTTAGGATAACAGTGGTAGTGCCCGCTTTAACATGTTAGCACTGCAGGCCGGCACGCCCCCAATACCACGACCACACAGACAGGCGTGAAGTGGAAGCAATTCCGTGTACAGTCTGATGAGTGTGCCGGAGGCCTAATTTAAGTCCCTTTCTCTTTACCGCCCTTTTCTTATAGGGAGAGGATGGGAAGGGGAAGTGGATTTGACGGAGGATGAGATACATAGGAAGGGGAAATATCCTCTTTATGCGCATCTCCTCCTCTGTCGGATAAGAGTAGTCAACGAATTTGCAATTGCGGATGTCTATTGGCAGCGGTCGCTTCGCCATTTTGGTGGATTCAGGTGGCCGCTTGCTCGTTTGCCACCTTTTGTTGAAAAAAAATACAAACATCCATCCATCCAAACTTTAACTTTTATAATACTATGATGTCAAATACTTACCCATTAATTCTAGCCATAGTACCATACGGTGCATTTAATTTCGCTGTTGCGATCAAATTCTTGCAATACAAAAACCAAACGCAATCCAAATCGGTATAAATTTGCGTGTTGTTGGCAACACTGGAGCTGTCACTTTTATTGAATGACGTTTGCAGAAGATTGAGCGCTTGAGTGTTGCCATCTATGTTGCGGGAAAGTTGATTCTGTATGTTTGAATTTATATTTTCTTTATTTGATAATTGTGTTAATAATTGCCTGAAATATTTTACAAAATAAATAAGGTAAGTTTATTCTTACTAAACATGGGCATTAAATTAAAAAGCTTGACTAACAGAGTACTAGCTTGATTGTTGCAATATGAAAAAAATTAATGGTCGTCACAAAATGCTGTTTAAATTTTGTACAACTACCTCAATATGGTTATCAAATGAAAGGACTTGAGAATTAAAATATATTTAACTAAATTAAATCCAAGATGGCCACATCTGTCTTGACAAGCGACAATCGTAAGACTTGAAAAATAACTATATTTGGTACCTTGGCTATATTTATTTGTGTTGAACTATAAGAAATGGGTAGATTAGAGAAATTTTTATAAAAAAGTACAGTCAAAATAATTCCTATTTATTCCATGTTTAGAGTTTCGCAGCGACAATAGTCATAGAAATATATTGTATAAGGTAATTAAGTGGGGTGTAAATTTAATTCCTTAACTACGTACTTGGTGTTCTTATAAGCTCTGCCGAGGTGTATGGCCGCCCGAGCAGTACTCAAACCTATTTCTAGAACATTATCCAAAAGATTCTTTCCGAAATCGAATTCTTCCGCCGTTTCTGGACGATTTTGACGTTTACTGGAAAAAAAAGATATTAAACGTTTTTTGTTCTGTATTTTTTTAAGTTATAGTAACACTAGGTTTCGCCCGAGACTCCGTTCGCGTGGAATAAAAAAAAAATAAAAACTTAGTAGCCCATGTATTCTTCCAGACTATCCTCTACTTCGATATCCGTTCAGCAGCGCAGGCAAATCTAACAAATATCCATCCATCTAAACATTCGCATTTATAATATTAGTATGATATATTCTTACGCTATCATTTCCTGATGGTATATTTCATTTCTTTTCGCCTCTACTTTCCCTGGTTCTAAAAACAAAGCGTTGAACGCAAACACCTCGGGGTCTTTCAGCATTTTGACCCTCGCCGCTTCCTAAAATAAAATATAAAATCTACAACCGTGACAGAAGACATTAAGACCAAAACATAGGCACATTGCCTAAAAGTGTATGAGGGGAAATGCCCTACCCTAAAGTCACAATGACCTTAGAAATATCAAAAAAAGACGCCTAACAGAAAGAGATCTGTGAATTACAGTCACATGCCCTATTAACACCTCCCTCTCTTACCCCCCAGGTGTAAGTCATCACCATCATCACCAGCTCACTATACGTCCCCACCGAGGGGCTCGGAGCCTACCCTAATAAGGGGTGACTAGGCCATAGTCAACCACGCTGCACTGCGGGTTGCTTGGCTTCACACATATCTTTGAATTTCTTCTCCGATATGTGCTGCATCACGATGTTTTCCTTCACCGTAAGAACGTCGGGTAAATTATGTACATATGAAAAATCGAAAATCACATTGGTACAGCGGGATTCGAACCCAAGACCTGTATTACAAGTCAAGTGTTCAAACCACTGAGCCACCGACGCTCCAGGTGTAAGTAAGAGGAAAGTAATAATGACCAGGGCGCTAGTTTATTCATCTCAAAACACATTGCAACATGAGAATCACACGCATCAACAAATACATTAAAAAATATAAGATTAGCTTTTATCCGCGACTTTGTCTGCATGGAAATAAATTATAGTAAAATGTATAGCCTATGGTGTACACTGATAACGTAAATTTTTAAAGATGAAAGAATTTTGGAAATCTCCCCAGTTGTTTTTGAGTTATTTAGATATACGAAAATCCAAAAATAAAAATATTATCTCGTTATAATATTATTATAGACTAGTAATTAAACTAAGACAAAAAAAATCGATAGTTAGTAACGTTATTGAAATATTAGAGGAAAATTAAACCTGAATCTGGCAACATTATGGATTTACGATACAAAAATCTATACTATTATAATAAAGCGTAAACACACACTTCTTTGTTGCCTAAGATGTCAGCAATTACACCATATGTTTGAAAAATTCTTTTTTTAATAAAAAGCAATTAAACTTAGGGGGTAAAATTTTGGATAAAAACCCTAATGTGGGAAAGAGACCATAAGTTGCTGCCAACATCAAGGAAGCAAGGTTATCATGTCATGTCATTTTGACATTTGCTATTGATAATTTGACAAATGTAAACAATAAAATAATTTCATGCGGATGAAGTCGCACGGGTACAGCTTAAAAAAAGGTAAATTTGAAAATACTAATTTAATTCCATACCTGATTCTCCCAAGCCATTAACTGTATATTATGTAACAACATTACATCTAAAGTGAGAATACCGAACGAAAGTAAATCTGTGCTATTACTTAAAATAACTTTCCTCGTAACTTGTGTATTATTATCACTTAGATATATATCTTTAAGTTTACTCATAACTTTAGATATATTCCCTTCTATAATACTTTCGTTTAATGCTTTCAAAACTTGTCCGAATTGATTACTCGATTCTCGTTTGGTGTTGCCATTAAAATCTGGATCAGATGTTATCCAATCGTGTAATTCTTGTACTTTTTCTATTAAATAACTAGTCATTGTGTTGCTTTCTAAATAATCTTCATATAAATTAACATCGTTGTAATATTCTTCATAATCTGTGTCATGTTTATATCCAACTAAAGGTGTGTTGTCTATTTCCGGTAGTTTATGTTTGAATTCCGGTAGTTTTTGTTCTGTGTATATCGCTTGTTGTTTTTTTTCTATCTTTTTTTCCGCGTGATGCATTGTTGTGTCGTGTATTGGGTGTATTTGAGGTTTTGATACAAGGTTTTTTTCTTTTTTATTTTCTCTATTGGATACTATGTTTTTGAATATTGAAAGTTTTTGTATTATAGGATCGTGGATTTCGTTGTCTGTTTCTGTTGTTGTTTGTATTTCTTGAAATTTTATATTTTTTCTTGGATACATACGTGGATTTGAATATATAGGCTCCTAAAAAAATAAATAATATAAATCTGTTAACAAGTTATTTCTTTCATTAATAAAAATATATTCGTATTTTCTTTATTTTATATGAAAATTTAGTCTTCAATCTTAACCGAACAGTTGAAAACATTGCCAACAATTCGACAGTACCGCTTGTAAAAGTATAGCGGGAATTAAACTCAAAATATAAACTACGTCAATACTGTTATCTCTGTCTAACATTCAACTTACCGGTGCTTCGAAGACCTCTTGTGTGTTGTACGTCTCTGTCGCACCCCATTTAGTTATAACAACAGTGGCGAGCACTAGCGCCGCGCAAACTGAGAAGCAAGACGCGCTTGCTATCACCCAAACCTTCAAAGGTACCTGAAAAGTTACAATCTATACTTCTATATTCTACATTCTATATTCTATATTCTATTCTATATCTATATATCTAAATCTATATTTTCAATTAGAATGAAATAATAAAGCATTTATTCGTTTACATCAATATAATAAAGTGTATACACACTATTTAGTTATTGTATGTCAGCAATTATAATATGTTTTTGAATAATTTTTAATAAAAAGTCCTACACTTACGACACGCTTTAGTGTATACATTTGCACGCTATTAAACTTAGAATGAATGAATGAATGAATGAATGAATGAATGAATGAGTGAATGAGTGAATGAGTGAATGAGTGAATGAGTGAATGACGGAAATAGTGAAAGAGTGAATGAGTGAATGAGTGAATGAGTGAATGAGTCAATGAGTGAATGAGTGAATGAGTGAATGAGTGAATGAGTGAAAGAGTGAATGAGTGAATGAGTGAATGAGTGAATGAGTGAATGAGTCAATGAGTCAATGAGTGAATGAGTGAATGAGTGAATGAGTGAAAGAGTGAATGAGTGAATGAGTGAATGAGTGAATGAGTGAATGAGTGAATGAGTGAATGAGTGAATGAGTGAAAGAGTGAAAGAGTGAATGAGTGAACGAGTGAATGAGTGAATGAGTGAATGAATGAATGAATGAGTGAATGAATGAATGAATGAATTAATTAATTAATTAATTCATTCATTAATTCATTCATTCACTCATTCATTCATTTAATTATCATCAATTATTATATATTATCATTATTATAAATTATCATTTAATTAATTAATTAATTAATAATGAATGAATGAATGAATGAATGAATGAATGAATGAATGAATGAATGAATGAATGAATGAATGAATGAATGAATGAATGAATTGCCACAAAATAGAAATTACATAAAAGGACTTATTCTAAAGGAAACATAATCGTGGCAAAAGGTAGCCAGCTCAGCGTATGCAGGACGGACTAAGCCGTTCCTGCGCTGATTTTCAGCTGTCTTCTTCGCACTCAAGTAACATATAGCTTAATTATTAGGGTAACCGGCCGTACTAATTACATATCTATACAGAAATAAAAAATACTCTTCTAAAAAGAAAAAAAAAGGGGAGTAAATGATTTGGAAAAAACATCATGCGGGAAAGGGGCAAAAATTGCAGGCTAACAACATCAAGGGAGCAAGGTTGCCATGGTAACGGTAATTGTTATCCAATATCAAAAGTTTAGATAGATGGATGTTTGTTAGAGTTTGGCGTCTCAGCGGTTGAAGGGATCTCGATGAAATTTGGTAGGTCTGGAACACATGCTACTCATTTTTGTTTTTATTATTTCACGCGAACGGAGTCGTGGGCGAAAGCTATTGTACACAACAAAATAAACTTTTTATAGTCTCATGCGACAGACAGATGAGACAGCTCTTGTAAGATGTTGCTGGCTGTACCAAATGCGTCAATAAAGAGGTTAGCAATTAAAAAAGTAAAAACTCTATGGTTTACTTAACTTTATCCGTTACAGATATAAAAACTACCGTTAGTCTATGTCGAATTCGTAATTCGAAACGCTACAAATAAAAAAACTAAATTGGCATTTCAGTTTGATACAGACGTGCGTAAATCGGATTATTCCCCACCATCACCCCGTTCTGTCCCCACGTGGAGACAGATTAAAATAAAAAGCTTCATCTGTCCCACCTTTTGCAACGAGAGGACGGTTGGAACTTATTTTAAATCATAACGGTTCCATCTGTTACCTTACTGGTGATAGTGAGACGAAAAGTGGGACGGATGAAAGTTTTTATTCTCACGTGGGGACAGAGAGGAGTGACGGTTGAGAGCAATCCCGTAAATCAACTAATCGGTTCAAAAGCTGGCAGCTTTGAACCGTTCAGCGGCTACAACTAAATTAACAGCTACCGGCGCAACGCGATGTACAGTAGCGGGAATACGAAGTGTTCCAATTCTGGAGAATATTGTTTATTGCAACGAAAACTCCGTCACTTACAAATAACTACATTTGTATAAATACTACACATAAATATACATAATCACACATACATTAGCGCCTATACACATATTGTTTAGATTTATATTAGTGTTCTAAAAAAACTAGCACTAAGACGGAAGAACCCTGGCTCCTACAAGACGGGCCTAGAGCCTAGTGTAGGAACCAGGCGATCGACCACAATTGTATTGAAACAAATTTTGTAACTTTATAAATAAATCTTTTAAATCTTAAAAAAACTAATTAGATTAGCAGTAAGTGCACGAAGGGATAACAATAAAAATAAACAAGGAGAACGTAAGTTATGAGTGTGGTACAGCAGTAGAGGTAGACGGAGAAAGAGATGTATTGTGTGAAAGGTGACATGATGAAGGGAGTAACTGAGATTACGTATGATAAAGTTATGTGGAGAACAAAAACCTGTCGCGCGACTACGGGGGTAGGATAAGGAGCCGTGTATTGATTTTTGTTAGGCCTTTCCCAATGCCTTCCACAGAATGCGGTCCTCCGCCTTCCGCATCCAACGACTACCCGCCGTGCGCACTAAGTCGTCGGTCCATCTGGAAGGACACCCCACGTTCCTGGTCCCCGTCCGTGGCCCGCATTCTAGGTCTTTCCTGGGAGGGCATTGGGGAAGGCCTATGCCCATGCAGTGGGCAGACAAAGGCAGATTTTTGTTACGCGTCTCGTTTCAATACGTTCAAACGATTGTAGTTTTTTAAGTGGACCGATAGTATTCCCGACTGTAATCATGCAAATCAGATGCAGGCATAAATTGTCTTGTTACTTACAGTAGTCTTGGTTGGTATTCTGTCGCACACCGGTCTCGGCGGGAGGGGTCTACGGGCTCGATCATTGGGGGGCGTAGTTCCCGCAGTATAACCCCAAGGGGGTGTCATGGCTGCCCGACTGTCATACGAGGTGGATGAAGGTGGACGCTTCTCGTATTCGTATTGGAACATTCTGAAATAATATTTCAATTTTAAAAACCGATCACAGGTAGGATAGTTGTTAAAAATCCGCCTCCTTGTGTTAAATTCACAAAAAAAATTTAGTAAACAATCTATCTGTTCTTCTAGACTATTTTATATCTGTGACACATAAAGATACTAGCTATCACCCGTGACTGAGTCCGCGTGGAATTAAAAAAATAAAAGTGAGTAGCCTATGTGTTCTTTCAGACTATCCTCTACATCTATACCAAATTTCATTGAAATCCGTTCAGCAGTTTAGGTTACAAACTCTAACAAACATCCATCTTAACTTTCTGAGCTACCTAACTGCCTTTGACTAAATAATTGCACAACGATTGTGCGATTGTCGATTATTTCGCAGCTTCAACTGTTTAGTTGCACAACTATATATCGAGTTTGCGCTACTCCATAAGCTCATATCAAAGCGAGACTAAACAGTTTTGCGATAGTCTAAGGTGCTCACGATGTTAATATCCATTTAAACTTTCGCAATTATAGGCAGACTAGCTGTTCCCGTGCGGCTTCATCTGCATGAAATTGTGATTACTTTATTGTTTACATTTGTCCAATTATCATTAGCAAATGTCAAAATGACATGACATGATGACAACCTTGCTTCCTAGATGTTGGCAGCAACTTATAGTCTTTTTCCCACATTAGGGTTTTATCCAAAATATTTACCCCATAAGTTTAATGGCGTGAAAATAGATAGCCTAAAGCGTGACGTAAGTGTCGGGCTTTTTATTAAAAAACGAGTTATTCAAAAATATGGTGTAATTGCTGAGTTCTTAGGCAACAAAGAAGTGTGTGTTTACGCTTTAATAGTATAGAAAATGTTACACTTCCTCATTCAGAATATATTACATTGTCTAGACATATACCACTAAACAAATGCTTAGAAAGTCTTAATAACCACTTGTCACGCAAATAACACCTTAATTGCGTTTTCTCCGATCGCTTGACAATATCGTGTAATTTATACAACTTACAGTTAAACAATAAGAGTGGTTTTCGCTTGGGATTATACAGTTCTCACGGTATAAGGCTGGGTGTAGGTTACCGTATAATTAGAGTAGAATAAAAAAATCTGGGACAGTAATCTATACTATTATAATAAAGCGTAAACACACACTTCTTTGTTGCCTAAGATGTCAGAAAATATGCTGTGATTATATTTTCGAATAACTCTTTTTTTTAATACAAAGCCCTACACTTACCTCACGCTTTAGACTATATATTTTCACGCCGTTAAACTTAGAGGGTAAATATTTTGGATAAAACCCTAATGTTGGAAAGAGACCATAAGTTGCTGCCAACATCAAGGAAGCAAGGTTAAACCATGTCATGTCATTTTGACATTTGTAATTGATAATTTGAAAAATGTAAACAATAAAAATACACGAAAAACAAAACAAAATGCACTAAAAACAAAACAAAATACACCAAAAACAAAATATTCTCAAAAAAACAGTACACTAAA